TCAGCGTTTGGAGGCAGGCCAGCTTCTCGTTGCATCTGATAGAAGACGTGCACGTTCGTGTTCCAGGCAACCAACGTCGTGTTTCTTCGTCCTCCAGAACACTTCCACGTGATGAATGCATCGGCCTCGTATTCACAATTTGCAAGGTAGACCAACCTATCCTGTTCTTCGTCCCATCCTGTCGAACAACCTGTGTTGCAAGCCGCAGTGTAGACTTCGACCATACTGCCACAATTTTGCACTTGCTTGATTCCCGGCTTATGATGCTCTTGACTCTGGAGAAACTTATCTGGCCGCTATGCCCTGCTCTGCTTCTTCTCATTGAAGTTGAGATTTGAGCACCTGCAAGAACAGAGAGCAAAAGTAGTACGTTACCTTTTCTCAAACCTTTCGTCTCAAGCAACTTCTCTGGCCTTTGGAGGTGCACTAACGTTTGCTCCCCCGTCACCTCTAGAGGATAGCTCAGTCAAATCGAAACTTGGTAGGTTCTTGCTCTATTTTCCAGTCCATGTTCCGAGCCAGCTGTGCAATAACTTCCAAGTCTGGTGACTTCCACCAGTGGACCCTTGTATGTGATCTTCACCGTCCGTGAGCAAGACCCTGCTGTCTTCTTGCTCTGCAACTTCATCTCCTTGAAGATTGTTTGTACACAATCTTCCATGTGCCAACGCATGCACTATGCTGACTTACGCGTCACTGCCAGTGTTGGCAGGACACTTTGAGGAGAATCCCAGAGTGCCATTGCTGTGCGAACCACGAGTGTGAGCTTCCAGCTGTTTCTTCTCAGTCAGAGAATCGTCCACCACAACTTCGATCTGCCACCCGGGATCCTGAAAGATAGCATTACTGCGCTGTTTCCTTCGAGAGAACATCCATCGCACGAGCAAAAAGCATGCGAGCAGCACCAAGATCGCAACCAAAACCCAGAGAAGAAGCTGGAGCAGCGACCACGGCGTCCTCCGAACCACTGTAACTACTGCTGCGGGTGTTGGTGTGCCCACTGCTGCGTCGTGACCCTCGTGACGATGGTGGTGGTGGTGGTGGTGGTGGTGGTGGTGGTTGTGGCGTCCTCCATGGTGGTGACCATGGTGGTGACCATGGTGATGGTGGTGAACAACCAGAGGAGCTCCATCACCGTGATGATGATGGTACACTGCTGCTGCTGGAGCTGGATCGTGGTGGCGAGCATCAGGCGCTGGAGCTAGATGAGCAGGGTGGCCGCGAGCAGGGTGAACGAAAGCAGCTGGCGCTGGGGCTCGAACTGGAGCGTCACCTTGAAGAACTGGAGCTAAAGCTGGCGCTGGCTCGTGGCCTCCTCGAGGATGGTGTCCATGGTGGTGTGGTGGATGTGCTGGAGCTGGAGCTGGAGCTCGCGGGTGTGAAGCTCGGTGATGGCCGCCATGCCAGGGCGCTGGAGCTTGGCGGGCAAGCGTTGGGGCGGCGTGAGCGCGAGAGACCATAGCTTACCTGACGAGAGCTTCGACAATAGAAAAATCCAAGCGAGAAAGATTATAACCTAACCCTTGACTTAGAAAATAAAATGGTACTTTTGGCTTTGTACGAATAGACTCGACTATTTATTTTACAGGAGTAGTGGCATTAAAATCATCATCGATCCTGGCAGTGGAAGCCGTGACGGAATTCCTCCGCATCGCTGGAAGTTATAGATTTTGGGACACAATGGTCATTTGGAAAGAGTGTGGGAATTAACGAAAGATCAAGTCAGAGACCTCTGTCTTTGATTGTAAAAACAATGGTACAAGCTTCTAAGTTTCTTTGTCTTTGCTGGACAAAGCTCGCAACTCATCCAAGGCCGCTCTCATGTTTCGAGCATCTTGCTCCCTCCCTGCCGCCGCAAACATGTTCCCAAGCGTCACATAGAGCCCAGAGTTTTGTGGATCCAAAACCAGAGCGTTCATCCCTGCTCGCTCCCCCCTGCTCACGTCCCCGTTCGCGTTACAAGCCGCCAGCAGCGTGATCCACAGCCTCGAATCCAGCCTCAGCCTCGACTTGAAGATCAGCTCCTCCGCAGCTTCAAGCTTCCCGGTTCTCGCCAGCAGATCGACCATGCAACCAAAGTGCTCCGAAGCAGGCACCACACCAAAATCCCACTTCATCGCTGCGAAGTAGTCCCAGGCCTTGTCTTCCACCCCAGCATGGCTGCACGCCGCGAGAAGGCTGACGAACGAAGCACCGTCGGACCTCAAACCATCTTGCTGCATCCAGTGGAAGAGTCTCAATGCGTCCCCTCCACATCTAGCTTCCACCGCTAGCAGTGAGTTCCAAAGCACGGGATCCTGCTTCTCGGACCTCTGGAACACTGCTCGTGAAGCCTCCAAGCTTCCACACTTCCCATACATGTCCACCAGGGCGCTGGCCACGACTTCGTCCGGCTCGAGCCCGGCTTCCACGACCTGTTCGTGGATCCTGCGTCCCGACTTGAGAGAGGCGAGGCTGGAGCAAACTCCCAGAGCTGCCAGCAGCGAGACTTTGTCCGGTCGGTAACCTTCGAGCAGCATCTGGTGATAGAGAGCTAGTCCCTGGTGGTGTCTTGCATTTTCCGTGGCCGCCGTAATCACCAGGCTCCAGCTTGTTTGAGTCTTCTCTTCCGTGCTCTCGAACATATCGAGCGCTTTGTCGAGCTCTCCCTTGCTCCCGTAGGCTTCGACAAGAGCGTTGCAAAGCCTGACGTTGTTGTCCAGGCTTCTCTGACGAGCAGCAACGTTAAGCAGCGTCATCTCGAGCGAGTTTACTACGGCGGCAGCGCAAGCCAGGGTGAAGCTGTCCGGGAGCACACCTTCCAGCTGCATGCGTCGAAATAGTAGCTGCGCGTCGGCAAACTCTCTGTGCTCGACGCAGGCCGAGATCATGGCTGTCCAGAGAGCTGTGCTCGGCTCTTTCGCGCTCACCCGGTCGAAGATTTCCCTAGCTTTCTCAAGCTTGCCAAGCCTGGCATACATGGTCACCAATGCACCAGCTACAACGTCGTCCTCGTCGTAGTTTTTCTGGCTGGCCATGGAGTGGACACTCTCCCCGATCAGTAGCATTGCCGGGTAGACCAGAGACGAGAGAACGATGCAGAAGCTGGCCCTGTTGAATCTCACACCCTCTTGCAGCATGCTCCTAAAAAGCTCGATGACTCCTTCGTGGCGGCCATAGCTGGAGTAGAGTGACATGATCGCGTTCCAGGCAACTGAGTCTCGCTGTACCATTCCGTCGAACAAGAGCCGAGCATGGTCCAAGCTCTTGCACTTCCCATACATGACGAAGAGTGCTGTGGCGACGACCAAGTGATGCTGTATTCCAGCCTCAAGAACCAGCTCATGAATCCCGGTACCGCTTCTTAGGAACCCTGGAGCAACGCAGGCACTGAGACCAGAGACGAGAGCAGTGGTGTTCGGAAAGATCCCGTTGAGCTGAATCCGTCGAAGAACTGCAAGAGTCTCATTCGAATAGCCATATCTCGCAGTTGCACGAAGAAAACTGCTCCATGGTAGAGACACGTCGTCTCGGCCTTGCAAGATCTGATAAGCAGCATCAAGTTCCCCGCAGCTCGAGTACATGTTGACGAGCGCGATCTCTATCCCAGGCTCGGAATGGAACTCCGTCTCGGCGACCATCCCGTAGACAGCATCACCCTCCGCAAGAGCTTCTAGATCGGTACACCCGTGAAGAAGGTTGACAAACGTCGCAAAGTTGGGATGGAAACCTTGGAGTTGCATCGTCCGAAAACACCGGAATGCTTCCTCGAGCAACACATTGAGGAAGAACGCGGCGATCATCGAGTTCCACGACACCACACTCCTCCTGTGTCCCTGCTCGTCGAAAACTCTGGCAGCTTCTTCCACCGCTCCACACTTCCCATACATGTTGACGACCGCATCGCCAACTTGCGGATCCAGCTCCCCAATCTGTTCCTGGATGTTGGAATGGACGAGCTTCCCCGTCTCAAGCGATCCCACCGCGGCACACGACTCAAGCACGGCCAGGAAAGTGATGGCCTCGGGCTTGAATCCATCGAGTTGCATCAGCCGGAAGACGATGAGCGACATTTGGAAGTTCCCCTGCCTCGCGTGAGCCGAGAGCATAACGTTCCAACTCACGGAGGTCCTCTCCTGGATCGAGTCGAAGACGCTGCAAGCCTCGTCCACGCTGTGGCACAGCCCATACATGTTGACGAGCGTGTTGCCAAGAACAACGTCGGCCTCAAGCCCGGCCTCTCTGACGAGCCTCTGAGCCAACCTGCCAGCCACCAAGTTCCCACAATCAGCACACGCATTCACAACAGCAAGAAAGCTCGTCTTGTCGAGCAACACACCTTCGAGCTGCGTCCGGTGGAAGAGATCGATGGCCTCGGAGAAATGCCCGCTCTCGGCATTTGCTGTGATGATCCCAGTCCATGTCACAACGTTGCTCGGAGAGTGGAACTCGCGGAAGATCCTGCGAGCGTCTTCCAGCCTGCCGCAGATGCGATACATATTTACCAAACTGGTGCCAATGCGATCTTCAATGTCAAAGCCACCGTCGCGAACTAAAGATTCGATCAGCTTCCCTGCGCTGGCAATCCACAGCCCCCTCTTCTTGCTGCCGTCGGTACTGCATTCCTTGAGGATGGTCACCAGCGTCGTGGCGTTGGGCCGGATTCCCTCGTGGAGCATGCAATGGAGTAGCGCTACCGAGGGAAGATCTCGATCTTCTTCTTCCTCGCACCGATGGTGATGCCTGGAGAAGGCGGCGATTACACCATTCCAGACTCGTACGTCCAAGTGGCTCACCTCGTGATCGAAGACGCGCCTCGCTTCACCCGCATTGCCGGATTCCAGGAGGCTCGTCACTCGCTCCAGACCCTGGAAATCCTCTCGCGACAGGAGATTCTTGCCTCTCGGCGCAGTAGCAGGAGAGGACGCGATGCCTCGCGCGAGAAGGCGGTCGGATTTGCCCCTCCGGCGAAGGCGCCCCAACATTCCATTCCACGCGAGATATCAAAATGCCAAGAACCCTATCGCATAGGAGAGGAGAAATATTTTGGCAGGAGGAAGGCGTGCTTCTTTGGGGCGATCGATCCATCGCGATCGTGTCTACAGGGAAGAAGATCCCTCTCCCACTTCTGTTTCATCCATCCACGCTCTGGCTTGAGAGGATTAGGGTTTATCCGGGGTTTTGATGGCAGTGGTGCGCCTCTGCGCTGCGCTCCACACCTTTCCGTCGTCGCATCGCTCCAGGATCGGTGCTGCTGCTCATCCGCTGCCTCTTTGTGCCTCGCATTACTCGCATTTCTCTCCTTCCACCGCCGGCTTCTCGCGATTGGAGAGCTCCAGAGTGGTGAGAATGGCGGCATCGGAGTCTTCTGCCGTGAAGACTGTCGTATCCACGCCAAGATCGACACCAGCTCCAGGTATGATTCGAACTTTTTCTAATGTGTTTTCTCATTTTCTTCTTATCGGCAGGCTCTAAGAAGGCTCTTCTTTCGCTGTCCGACAAGCGCAACCTTGATGTTCTTGCTACTGGTCTTAGAGAACTCGGGTAAGTTTCTATGCTCTCTTCACAAAAAGAAAGTTGTATGCTGAAAGTTGTCGACTAGATATACGCTGATTTCCACTGGTGGTACCGCCAAGGCGCTGGAAACTGCGGGCTTCGAAGTTACAAGAGTGGAAGAACTGACGAACTTCCCTGAAATGGTTGTGTTCTTTTTCTCTCTGGAGGAACTTTGATTGTGAAATGTTTGTTTTTGCAGCTGGATGGTCGAGTAAAGACGTTGCATCCTGCGGTTCACGGAGGCATTCTTGCAAGGCGTGATTTAGACTCGCATATGGACGCTCTCGACACGCACGGGATAGGTGTGCTCATAGTTGCGCTAATCTTTAGTTGCTCCTTGTCTGTACTGTGAAGGCAGGAACCATAGACGTTGTGGTGGTCAATCTCTACCCGTTCTATGACACTGTCACTGCTCCCGGAGGAGCATCGTTCGAGAAAGGTGTTGAGAATATAGATATTGGTGGTCCTGCAATGATCAGAGCTGCAGCCAAGGTTTCATGTTTCATTTGTTCTTTGCGGTTACTGAATTTTGAATTTTCTTTTCATGGCAGAACCACAAGCACGTACTTGTAGTCGTCGATCCTGCAGATTACCCTACGGTTTTAGACAGTCTGCAAGGTAAACTGGAGAATGACGAAATGATCAGACGGAAATTCGCCTGGAAAGCGTTTCAGCACGTCTCCTCTTACGACTCGGCCGTGTCGGAGTGGTTTTGGAAGGAAAACAATGGTGGTAAGTTTTTAGCTGTTTTCTCACTTTGATCCACATGACATGAAGTTGGCGTTTGGCAGATGGTTCTGGTACTCAGTTTCCATCAGAGCTTACGATACCACTGGCACTAAAATCGTCTTTAAGATACGGAGAGAACCCACACCAAAAGGCCGCGTTTTATGTCGATAAATCCATCTCAGAAGTTGATGCTGGAGGAATTGCGACTGCTGTGCAACACCACGGAAAGGTAGTGAATCTACTTATTCACCTCTTATTGACAGTTTTAGCGTGCTCCTTTTGCAGGAAATGTCTTACAACAACTATCTTGATGCTGATGCCGCCTGGAATTGCGTCTGCGAATTCAAAGAACCGACATGCGTTGTAGTCAAGCATACAAATCCATGTGGGGTGGCGTCGCGGCCCGACATTTTGGAGGCCTATCGCCTCGCTGTTGAAGCAGACTCCGTCAGTGCATTCGGCGGTATAGTAGCCTTCAATTGCGAAGTTGACGAGGTTTGCTTTAATATCAACTTTTTAACGTCTACACGGGCTTTTCTATTTCGCAGGCACTGGCACGGGAGATACGAGAGTACATAGCAAAGCGGTATCAGGAAAACCAAACCAAAATGTTCTACGAGATTGTGGTGGCACCGAAGTACACCGAGAAGGGACTCCAGGTCTTGAAAGGCAAGTCGAAAGCACTGCGAATACTCGAAGCTCAGCCAATCAAGAAAGGCCGTCGAAGCGCGAGACAAGTCGGCGGAGGCTGGCTGGTTCAAGATGCCGACGATCTTACACCGGACGACATCACTTTCAGAGTCGGCACAACGAAAGTCCCAACAGAGGCGGAAATGACCGACGCAAAGTTCGCATGGGTGTGCGTCAAGCATGTCAAGAGCAACGCGATCGTGGTCGCAAAGGTCTGTGTTTTTCTGAATCGTTGTTTCTTCGCGTTCCTGACGTCGAATGAGTTCCAGGATAACTCCATGCTTGGAATGGGCAGCGGGCAGCCAAATCGTATCAAGAGCCTGGAGATCGCGATTGAAAAGGCTGGAAGCGCTGTCAAAGGCGCTGCTCTTGCTAGCGACGCATTCTTTCCTTTTGGTGAGTGGTGATGAATCTCAAAGCTCTCTAGTTTCGACTGAGCGGTGGATTTTTTCGTCTCCCGCAGCTTGGAACGACGCCGTGGAAGAAGCGTGCAAGGCTGGAGTGAGCGTCATAGTCCAGCCGGGTGGAAGCATAAGGGACCAAGATGCGATCGACTGCTGCAACAAGTATGGCGTCGCAATGGTTTTTACAGATGTTCGTCACTTCCGACATTAAACAACACCCAAATCTTTGCAAAGATCTACAAAAAATCTAACTAGAGTATTGTTTTGACCAAAAGGTTGACTAAGCCTGTTCTTCCAAATATGTGGGAACTCAAAAGATATGCTTGATCTCGCTGCTCGCGCTGCTCGCATCACCAGCACAAGAAGCCACTGCTGGAAGCGCTTCCTTCACTGCGATCTTGCAGCAAGACCTCCGCTCGATCATCACGAGCTCGATGCAGCAGCAGTAGCAGCAGAGTATGGCGACCGTCTCCAGTCGTGCCGAGATCTCCCCCAAGCTAGGCTCTTGCACCAGGAGATCCTCCGCGGCAGCCCAGGACTCCTGGAAACCAACGTCTTCATCGGCAATCTCATCGTCGGTGCGTATCGCAAATGCGGCAGCTTGGACGAAGCTCGCGCAGCCTTCGAGAGCCTCAAGCTCAAGAACGTCATCACTTGGAACGCCATGCTCGCAACTCTGGCAGATCATGGCGAGTTCCAGGCCACGCTCCACGCTTTCAGCCGGATGCTGCACGAGGGGACGGTCCCCAGCGTTGTGACTTTCATCTCGGTGCTCGGAGCTTGTGCCGACTGGAGCTCGGGCAACCGAGTTCACTCGCTCGCCACCGAGCTGGGCTTCCACACCGATCTCGTCGTGGGTAATGTTCTTGTCAACTTCTATGGGAAGTGCGGAGATTTGCCACAGGCCAAGATGGTTTTTTCTGGGATCAGCTACAAGAGCACTGCGAGCTGGACTAGCATGGCTGCAGCAAATGCCGAGAACGGGCATTTTTTCGAGGCTTTGCATTTGTTCCGGGGAATGCTGCTTGATGGCTTGCGGCACAACATTCCCAGTTTTCTCACCGCGCTCCATGCGTGCTGCTCCTTGCGAGAGGCTGACGAGATCCATCGGCAAGTTTGTGAGAGCGGGCTGGTTTCTAGCGATGTCTCGATTGGAAACGCGCTGGTGAAAACTTACGGGAAGCTTGGCGAGGTGGAGCGCGCGATGGAAGTGTTTGAAACAATGGCGGTGAGAGACTTGAGCTCCTGGAATGCGGTGGTTGCTTCGTACGCTCAGAACGGCTGCAGTGAAGAAGCTATCGCGTTTTTCTGTCGGATGCTGCTGGAAGGAGTTTCTCCCAATGGGAATTCCTTCGCGGGTGGTGTTCTTAGCTGCGATTGCGGGGAGAAGTTCTCGAGTCTCGTCCGTGGCTGCGTCGAGGAGGGTGGATTCGACGCCGATGTTGCCGTGTCCAATGCTTTGATAACTTTCTACTCGAGGAGCAGGGAAGTGGAGAAAGCCAGCGAGGTTTTCCTGCGGCTGGATCGTCCAAACCTTCTGTCGTGGAACTCTATCATCTCAGCCTGCGTCCAGAACGACTGTGCCGATAGCGCCGTGCTGCTCTTCCGAAAGATGCAGCTCCAAGGATTTGCGGCGGATAAGTTTACACTGACCTCACTCCTGGACGCTTGCCGGTGCTTGTCACTGGGGACGAAAATCCTGGAGTGGACCAACACGGAGTTGAAGTTGCAGCTGCAGCACGACTCTCTTCTCGGCATCGCCATGCTAAATATGTTCGCAAAGTGTGGATGTCCAGCTCGAGCTCGAGAGATCTTCGACGACACGATCACCAGGACGAACAGTTCGTTCGACGTAGTGCTGTGGAACGAGTTGATCAGATCGTACGTAGACAATGGCTGCTTTGACGAGGCCATGCAGAGCTTCCGGATGATGCTGCTGGAGGCCGCGGCGTCGCCAAACTCGGTAACTTTGTCTAGAGTCTTGGCTGCGTGTGAGGACGAGCCGTGTAGAGCGATGGTGGAAAGCTTGGTTATGGAGTCGGGCTGGGGATCGGACGCTCAGGTCTCAAACGCACTCGTGAGCATGCTCGCCAGGAGTGGATTCGTGGAGCAAGCTTTGGAGAGAGTGATCCTCCACAAGCATAACAACGTTGTGGCATGGACGTCGATGATCACAGGCTTGGTGGACAAAGGCTTGCACGAAGAAGCTCTTAAGTTCCTCCCGGTGATGAGAGTGGAGGGCGTGAGGCCGGATGGAGTTGCGTTTGCTGCGATGCTCGGTGCCTGTGCCGGAGCTCTCAACTCGGACCAAGGCAAGAAGATCCACTCGCAAGTTCTGGAGAGTGGTCTGGAATCGGACTCGGCGGTGGCGAGCTCGCTGGTAGCAATGTACGCACGGTGTGGAAACCTGGTGACCGCGTACAAGATGCTCACGTCCATCGAGCAAGAACATCGGCTCGAAGATCATCGCAAAGTTCTCGTCGTCTCGTGGAACAACTTCATCGGAGCTTGCATCCAGCACGGCCAGCACGCCACGGCGGTGACAATGTTTCGCCGGATGCTGCTCGAAGGGATCACTCCAAACAAAGTGAGCTTCATCACCGTGCTTGCGGCCTGCCGCATGGAGTCCACTTCTCGGGTCGGCCATCTCGTCCACAGCGCTTGCAGAGAGTGTGGACTCTTCGAGGACGCGTTCGTCAAGACCTCCCTGGGGGACATGTACGGAAAGCTCGGAAACTTAGCAACCGCTCGCCAGATCCTGCGTGCAGTTCCAGTGAAGAGCTTGGTTTCTTGGAATTCTCTCGTCTCGGCGTTCGCTCAGCACGGCCGTGGAGAAGAGGCTGTGGTATTTCTGTGGGAGCTGCAACAGGATGGTAGCAAGCCAAACGCCACCACCTTTGCGAGCATTATAAACTGTTCCGTGGAAGCGACCGAAGTTTATCGCTGGATTGAATCGATGCTATGCGATCATGGCTTGGTTCCTGGCGTGGAGCACCTTCGAGGCGTGGTGGAGATCTTGGGACGACAAGGAAAGCTGGGAGAAGCGGAGAGGATCATTTCCAAGATGGCGATGGAGTTTCGAGGTGCGATGTGGCTGAGCTTGCTGGGATGGTGTCGCAGGCATGGTGATGTGAATCGAGAGAGACTGGCAGCTGAGAGAATCCTCGAGCTCGATCCTCTCAACGCTGTTGCTCAACAAGTTGTCACGCTCTTGGGCGAGGCTGACAAGAAAGCGTAATCTCCTGGAATTGAAAAATACCTTGTATCAAAACGTTTGCGGTGGCTGACACAGATTCAAGCGTCGGAAAATCTGAAATCGCATCCTGATCTTGTCAGTCGGACTGTCGTGAGTTGACAGTTCGGGAGCCTGTAAAAATCCATTCCCAGTTCAGAAAAAAGATGGAAGATGGAAAGTTTGTAAGGCTTACAATAGATTTGCGCGCTTAAGCATGTTGCGCAAGAAGCTGCTGTGCGAAACCACAGCGATCTCCGTCTCTTTGCGATCCCAAAGCCTGGTTCGTTAAGAAAGCCACCATTCAATACTTGTGGAAACAAAAAACTGGAAAGCTTCTGTTTTTTTTACTTTACCATTGCAGAAAAAGAGTGATTCGTTCTTGCAGCTCTTTCATTGTCTCGGGAGTGTCTGGATTCCACATTTTATCGTCATCGTCTTCGATCTAAGAGAACAAACACAATGAATGTTGCACACCTTGCATCTCATGAAAACACAAACACACCTGCGAAAAATCGACTGTTGTAAACATTGGCGCATAGTTGCTAATGGCCCGTCTCTTGTCAGACGATCGAACGCTCTAAGTGGATTGCACCAAAAAAGAAAAAGAACACGTAAACGAGACGAGATCAAGAAGAAAAAAGGACGAGAAGAAAAACATACCATCCGTTCTCTACACAGTTCCTGTGCAACAAAAGGCGGACTGCCGATCTCTCCGCTTCCAAACACACCGACTGCCGTTTGCAAAGTTCTACAAAAACTGAACGATGAACAAGAAGAAGAAATAGAAAAAAACTCTCACCGAGTCAACGGAGAAACCACAACCAGCTGAACGCGACGATCAATCCCACTCTCTCCCACGATCTTGCGGAGCCTTCCAATCTGATTCGAGCATTGCGATATGAGAAGAAAACGCGAGTGATAGAGAATGAGAGCTCTTACCTGTTCCCAGCCATTGGGAGTGAGCTTGGGATCAAAGAAGTTCTGGTCGCGAGCGCGGGCTTGCTTGAGAGAGGCCTTGCCAATGAAGGAGAGCAGCCACGCTTGGAAGTGGCGCCAGAATGGCCGCAACACGCGAATGAGGAGGCGCGGAGAGAGATGGCGCCATTCGCCCCGGAAGAAGAGGCGATGGAGGCTCACATCGCCATCGACATTGTGAAAGGCTTCTGCGTGTCTTACCAGGTGGATGATCTTCGCTTCCTCCATCTTTCCTTACTACAAACCCTAAAACCCCAGGCTTTAATGTTTTTTATTTTGGACCCAGGACCATTCAAACATTTAAAGGAGTTTAGTTAGTATCCGTCTTAAAATCATTTATTCTGGTCTTCCATAACTATAATACTTCTTAGTTTTAAAATTTAGGGGGTTGGGTTGTGCCAGGCTAAGGCGGTAGTGTAAGGCCAAAGCGACACGTGGAGAGCCGGGCAGCAAGCTACCGGTGGCTCCCCTCCCACAAAAAATTAGATTAATAGCGTTGGGGCACGTGGCCCCATATCAGCTATTAAACTGATAAGAACAGATACTACACTTGATCTTAGCCAAAAGGCCGAGAAAGGTATGAAATTATCGTGGCCCAGCCCTCTCGTTATATACTATGGGCAGGCCCCAATCCTGTGCCACGGCATGTGGGATAGGGCGCGGGCTGACGTGTCACCTAAACAATTAGGGCTATCGGATAAACACGTGTCATCTTGTTTGACTGAAAATGTAGGGTTTGTGGCATGGCGAAGCAAGCTAGCAGCAGTGGCGGTGCTCTTTACGACGCCCAGCGCTTGGCGAGGATCAAAGCGAGCAAGCTCTACGTTTCCAATGCATCTCCTGGCAAGGTAGGCGCCCGCCGTTGCTAATTTCAATTCCAATTTTCTGTTCTTCCGGCCTAGGTTCCAGTCATATACTCCGCAGTGTATAATATCGCGTTCCTGGGATTGGAGAAACTGTAAATAGATTGGCTCTTTCTCTCGCATTGAATCTAAAGAGCGTCTCTCAACTCCCAGCCATCCATTTGACTCTTCCAAGTGGGGAAGAGTGTGTGAGCTGCTGATCCAGAAAGGCGAGCTGGAGTCACGTAGAATTATGGAGCCTGGAGAAGCTACAAAAGAAGATCTTCTCGTGGTATGTTCTAGACTATTTAACTTCAAGCGGAGATTAATTCTCTTGGTTTCCTTCTTTTTTCCATTTCTAGGTACACACACCGGAATACTTGGAGAGCTTAAAGCGGAGTTATGTTGCTGCCTCCATATTGGAGGTAGAAATATTCAATCTTTGTGTTTATATCTCTTTCTTGAGCTCGATCAAACAGGTTCCCCCTGTGGCTTTGCTGCCTTATTGCATCATTCGTTCTAAAGTTTTAGTCCCATTTCGGAAACAGGTAGTTTGGAAACAGGTAGTTTCCCTTGTTTATGTTCTTTTGCGTTGTTTTCAAGGTGGGAGGGTCTGTTCTAGCAGGCAAAGTTGCTTATGAACGGGGATGGGCTATAAATGTTGGAGGGGGATTTCACCATTGTTGTGGCTATAGAGGCGGTGGTTTTTGTGTGTATGCAGACATAACACTCTGCATTCACTTCGCTTTCGCAAATCTCAATATCAGCCGGTATGTGCTTTTAAGAGATCATATTTCCAGAGCTTTCGTTTTCATGAAACGATTGCAGGGCGATGATTGTTGATCTTGATGCTCACCAAGGCAATGGTCATGAAAGGGATTTTGCAGATGATGGTAACTCTTTCTGGTACTTTTCACTTGTAGAGCTCCTTTTCCTGTTTGCCACTTGACTTAATCGTCGCGAACTCCTTGCAGATCGAGTGTTTATCTTTGACATGTATAATCGAGATATATATCCACTGGTACGAACTTGTAAGTTTCTTCGTCATGTTCATGTACACTGCTTTGCAGGATTATGAAGCAAAACGCTGGATTGATCGGCGAGTTGAAATTTCCGTAAGCAGTATTTGTTTATTGTTTCTCAACAAAGCGTGTTATCTTACACGTAGAGTGGAACACGGACTGACTCTTACTTGACGCGTTTAAAGCAAGAGCTTGAGGTTCTCTTTTGTATACTTGTTTTTCTCTTTGTAGCATCTTTGTAGCAACTTCGTAAGTTGCAGGGGGCGTTCCAAGCCTTTGCTCCAGATCTTTTGGTCTACAACGCCGGCACAGACATATTGGAAGGAGATCCTCTCGGCCGATTGGAGGTTTGCTTCAAGTTTCTCGAGCGTTTTCTCAGTCTCGTCCTTGCAGGTTTCACCGGAAGGAGTGAAGGAGCGTGACGAAATTGTTTTCAGCTTTGCTCGCCAGAGAAACATCCCAATTGTCATGCTCACGTCTGGTAAACATTTTTTAATCTTCTTCCATTCCAGCTGCTAGAACAGTGATTCTTTTTCCTTTTTTATTTGTTCCAGGAGGATACATGAGAAGCAGTGCTGGTGTCATCGCTGAATCCATCTCGAATTTACACTCGAAAAAGCTCATCGACTTGGCCGGTGTGAATTAAACAAGAGCCTCTCTCTTTCCAGCGGGGTGAAAGAGATGTCGAACCCGGGACCCCCTAAACGCATATTCGAGAGAGTGATGTAGGGCGACCATTTCTAGCAAGCCATGCCAGGCCATGGAGGCGCGATATTCTTCTCTAAGGCTGGGAGAGGCTCTCAACAGGAGGTACTAAGACTAGCACTGGCTTACATTCTCGATTTACTCCATCGATTTGCTTGTCTAGGTGCGACTATGCCCGAGCTTGCAAGGAGCTCGCCGTGCTGCTCAAACAGGCCTATGGAATTGCCCCCAAGTCTCTCCAGGCGGCTCTCTTCCAGGATCTTCTCGCCGCGTTTCGCATCCTCCAGGAGTAAGAATCTCTTCTTTGAAAGCTTTCGTGATTTCTCTCATTTTTTTTCCTTTGTTCTTTGTGTTTTTTTCTCTAGTTGTCCATGGTGCTCGGCTGGTGATTTCTCCGCTGCCAGTGCTTTGCTGCAAGCTTCTGACTCCGTCTTGCCGAAGCACAAGAAGGGCTTGGCGGCTGGGGAGTTTAGAAAGGCTGCCATTTCCTTGCAAAGGAGCTCCAAGAATCAAAGCGAGCTAGACGGTATGGTTTTGTAAGACTGTTCTTCTTCGTCTTTCTGACTATGTTTTCAATTTTTTTTTCTCGTGAAGAATCCTGCCTGCTTCCGATGGATGTTCTTGTTCACGTTTTCAGTTTCCTGGATCCCATATCGCTGGCTACTGCTGGCTGCGTATGCAGGTTTTGATTTTAATCTCGATTTCTGCTCCAACAAATGTGACAGGTTTCATCTTGTTTTGTGAAGGTCTTGGAATTCAGAGTACAAAGACGCAAACCTCTGGCAGAAGCTTTTCACGGTTGTTCTTGAGAACACGAGTTTTGATCCTACTAGAGTTTTGCAGCTCGCTGGTTTTGAGCTGGGTGATGATGATTCCAGTGCTCCTCTGAGAGTCAAGGATGTTTCGATCCAAAAAATAGGCTGCTGGAAGAAGGCTTTCGAGATCGCAGTTCTCCGTGAGTTGTTTCGTTTAGTGCTTTTCTTGTGTCTTACTATTATATATTTTTGCTTCCCAGGTTCGCCAAAGCTTTTGTATCTCTTCACAAGGGCCCAGTGCTTGACTTGCAAGGCAACGTTTTGGTCATCGGAGCTTTGCTTGCAAACTTTTGCCAACCAGTGCAGCAAGAAAAACTTCCAGGAGCACAAGCTGAGGCCACTGTTGCTAGAACAGGTTTGATCCGCCCTCGTCTTCCTTTACATGGTTTTTCCTAAACTTTGTACTGCGCCACAGGTTGTCAGCTTTGTTCTCATGGGATCAAGACAAGCTTACAACACCAAAAAAGACTGTGATTCAGACGAAGACCAGTATCTTCCTTACGCGAAGTTGTGGGAGTATGCAAAGTGGTTGAGATAGCTGATTTTTGTTATGTCTAGCTAGTAATCAAGTTCACCATTGTCACTGGTGGCAACCAAGGCGCCCTTCTTCATATAATCACGACGAGGAAATCCTCTTAGATTGAATGGAGAGGTGGAATCACTGGGCGGACCTCTCAAGAAACTTGTCGATCTAATGGACTTAACATGTTGGTGTCCCTAGTGTGTGTGATTTCTTGAAGTTGAAACATTATTAATAATCGAATGAATTAACAACAATTTAGTTTTGAGGTGTCGAGGTGGTGAAGTTGATGATCTCAATAAACTCTCCAGTGCAGTGTGTCTTTGCCAGCGCGGGGTTTATGCGGTTGTCCACGATTTGCCCCACCAAGTTACTTCCCTGTGGAACAAGCGCAAAAGAGTACGAGTTGTTCTGTTCACTGAATTGCAAAAACTTGTTGGTGGCTAAAGGAGACATGTAAGGCAAGACAACGTTACCCTTCCCAGGTCCTGCAAAGCCAAATCCATCACAATCAGAGTCCAATCCACTCAAAAACTCTTTACAAAATCAAATGTGGTCAATCTTACCAAAGCTGCCTGCTGGAATGCTTGCAACCCAGTAGGTGATGTAGGACTCATAGAATTGGAATCCAATCATGTCCAACCAGGTGAACATCACCACTGAAAAGTATGAAGGATGTGTGATGTTGATGCCGCGGCGGTCGCCATATCCTTGGATGTTAATAGTGGGAGCCCTGTCAGTGATGTGCAAGGGGGAGGAAGCTGTTCTCCTCGACTGTGGTGGAACTATACTTTATGAGAAGATTAGCATTAGCTGACAACAAACACAAGGAGGAGAATTCACAGCTGACAAGAACACTGCCATTTCTTAGAAGAATTGACGAATCAATGGATTGATGCTTTTATCTATGACATTTTCTCGGGTTTTATACAAGGCCAGTTGACTAAATTCACCCATCCCTTGATCCAAATGATCCCAGATTTCTATAAAAATCTGGGTGCCAAGATTACCATGGACAATTCAAGGTATACTAAATTCTACACCCTCTGCGAGAATAAGTTGCTAAACCATGTAGCTCTACTTGAAAAAAATAAATTAAATTGAGCAGATGTCAATCTTCGGATAAGAGTTACATGCTGTCTACTAACGAAATATCTACATCCCCGATGAATAAAAATATGAATTTTCTTTAGCAGCCACAAAGTATGGTTGGATCGCAGCAGCAGCAGCATTGATCAAGCAGGCAGCAGCAACAAAGCGCAGCCAAGCTGTTAAGGAAAAACTCACCATGAGAAAACTCAGCAAAAATTACAAGCTATTAAGATAGAAACTAGCACTCACCAGCCTCTGAGAAACCCCCCTGACCGCTTCTTTTGCTTGTAGTTTTGTGGCGGTGGATAGTAACCTGTGGAGAATAGAACTTAATTCAATCTAGAAGAACTAGAAGGGACCAAAGAGAGATTGATCCTTTGGGAGAGCTTACCTTGCTGGGGATAGCCATAGACTGGCTGCTGATGGTGGTGTCCGTGCCCCTTTTCCTCATGGTGGTGTTTCGCCATTTTGAAGAACAAGGAAGAATCGCCCAAATTCGCAAGAGCCCAGAAACTAGATCGAAAAATTCAGCTTCCAATCGAAGAGACCACCCAAAAGAATGAAACGAATCGATCGAATTCGGAGGGGACGATCGTCGCCCTATATAAAGGGTAGGGAATGCCGCGTAAATTCAAGTAAAGTCGGTCGCCACGTGTCAACGCGTGTCAATTTGCCACGTGTCATTACGCGGATTTAGGGCCTAGGGCTTGCTTCAAGGAAAGGGGAAACGAGGAGAGAGGGGATCTGTCCAGGAAGATACAGTGCAGGAAGGATTTTCAAGAAGCCTGTTGACATTCTTTTAGTTCTTTTGGAAAAGTATTTACATAGGTTGGTTGAAAAAAAATGTTAGATATTCGAAAATATAATCTTCTTTCATAATCAAATTTTGGATATTCATCTCACATGAGCAAACAATCTTATTTATTATGTAGTTAAGGATGCCATAATGACATCCATCAAAGAGAGGTAAAAAGACTTAGAGAGGTGGGTAACAAGTCTTGACAGACAATAGTCCACACACGTTTGCTGTGGCATCCTAGGCTCGATCCATGCAGTTTTCTTTTTGAGAATGTTGATAAGGGTGTGGGATATGGTACTCCTTTTGGCGGTTCATCAGCATGTTTACAAGGTCCAGTGTTTTCCACATATGATCACACGAGGGATGCAAGAAATTCAAGAAATGCGCGTGAATCCAGGTAGATGATCCTAGGGTAGTTTTGGCGCTTTCCACTCGCAGATCGCCGACCTCACGACGCGATTCGGTGTCAAGTTCTTGTTCTCCAGCGGCAAATTCGTCATCGGCGACGCATCGCTCTTCTGGAGCCAGCGAATGATCGCGTCATACTCGTACGTGTATCCGTCCGACGCGATCACAGGGTATTCCATCACCTCCTGGAAGACGAAGAAATATTTCAAGAGGATGGAGGAATTCCAGGATGATTACCTGGAGAATCGGGCACAGGAAGAGCGTTGGAGCCGCGGATTTCGGTCGCTCCTCGCTGCGAAACAGATGATTCATCGTCTCGAGCATCTGCAACACGTTTTCCAGCTCCGGCCTGTTCTTCCTCTGGACCTCGGCGCAGTTTAGACCAATGCAAGCCAGCTGCGTCGCGGCTGCCAGCGGCCACTCTCCAGCGCTAGTGTCGAGGATCTCCATCAGGTGTCCCTGATCCACGGCAGTGGAAACTTTGTGGATGATTCCAACCGGGCTCGTCGCGGTGAGGAGCTGGAGCAGGATGATCCCGAAAGCAAACACGTCGGACTTTGCATTGAAGCTGCCTTCCCGCTGGTACTCCGGATCGATGTACGCGAAAGTTCCCACAGGTGATGTGCTCCTCACGCTTGTCTCGTCGCCTGGCATGAATCTTGCCAACCCAACGTCGCTGATCTTACTGTTGTAGTTTTTGTCTAGCAGGATGTTGGAAGGCTTGAGGTCCCGGAGCACGATCGGCTGTGGCTTTGCCTTGTGGAGGAAGAGGAGCGCTGTGCCGACTTCCACCGCAATCTGGTACCTCGTGAGGCATGAGATTGGCGGCGAGTCGTCCTTGCAGAACAGTCGATCTTCCAAGCTCCCATTTTCCAGGTACTCGTAGACAAGGCATTTCTTTTCCGGATTTCCGCCTAGCAGTAGAACGATGTGAGGATGGTGTAGTCGGCTCAGCACTTCCACCTTTATTTTCCCATGCTCGTTAGAGATTTTAGAAATTCGAGTGAGTTTACGTACCTCTTGTTCGAACTCTTGTGGTCCTTGCCAACTATCATGTCTTAGAACCTTGACTGCTACGTTGGTCCTGTGGAGAGTGCCTTTGTAGACGTGACCGTATGATCCCTCTCCTATTTTGTTGTTCTCAGAAAAGTTGTCTGCGATGTCTCGGAGTTCCTCAAACGTGAATTGTGTGTACTTGAGCAGTTGTTGCCTGTTGGCCTCTCTCTCAGCTTCTGCTTTACATTGGAGCTCTATCCTGTTTTCCATTTCCTTCCTCCTTCGGATTTCGTCTACCAGTGCTTTTTTCATTGTGTTGACAAGCGTGAGAGCTTCAGCACGTTTCTGCGATTCCTCATCCAGTTTCTTTGCTGTGTTATACTCTCGCTGATTGTCCTCCTCGACCGCTCGCATCAATATTTCCGCCTGGAATGCCATGAAATCGTAAGACTTTTGACGATAGCATCTCCAGTTTACCCGTTTTAAAGCCCAATCAGCCTTCTCGCGAGCTTCCTGGCTCCGTAGTGTTTCAGCGTCGGCAGATTCTTTTGCTTTGTTTGCAGCCACGATGGCATTTTGTAACTGCTGCTTGAGCATGTTTATTTGCTCCAGATCTACAGCCTGCACGAGAGAGTCAGAACAAAATGCTGTTCTTGTAAATCTAACCTTGGGATCCGCAGGCAGGGGCTCGCTGATGATACTACTGGGCGAAGACTCTCCGAATTCTTCTTCAGTGCGAAAGGCTGGTGGCACAACTGTTAGTTCCGGCGTTTGAGGTTGGTAGCTTCCTTCAGCAATCTCATCCTTACTGTCACTTCCTCGCATTGATAGGTGACTTTTCAGCGGAGAGGTCGATACCATGAGAATTTCGCGATTCAAAGCGTCAGCTTCCAGCCAGCTAGAGGATGGAGACGGAGATAAGGGGAAAATGAATTTGTCCGCCACACTCGGACGAGCAGGAGATGAATTTGTACGAGGGAATGAGTGCGGTGGTGAAGCATTCCTGAATGATGCCAATTTCGAGGATTTCGATATGCACTGTACAGTACAGTAATCTGGAGCATGTTTCCGAACGTAGTCTGAAACTCCCGACCTCAATCTCCTGATGAAAGGAACTAAAACTGTGTGTCACATTGCAGGAAACAAGCTTGCTTACTTACAGAAGGTTTGTTCGGGACTCTCCAAGAACGAATGTTGTCACTTGGTACTTCTCAATTTGCTCCACCAAAGACTTACCAACATCGTCGCTCTCTACGAGAACGAATTCTGCTTCCACCTGTAAGTCAAGTGTTTCCTTTGAGTTTTCAGCAAGCCGATCGGACCTCATAACGTCTGCAGACATTTTGCAGCTCCTGAGAGAAGTCCGCTGTCTTGGCCTCCTTGCTTACCATATACGCTGCAAGTTTTTCCTTCGAAACTTGCGATACAGGTACTCTCCCAACTTACACAATTTGTTAGATGCAAGTGATGTTTCTAAAGAGTGACTTACCAGGAGTTGTAATTGTTCGGACAACAGATCGGACATGGAACAGAAGAAGCTCCCCGTTCCTCTCTACTGCATTTTCTAGCGTCCACTTCAGCACTACCCCAGAACGAGCATCAGGGACCAACGCAACACCCGTTTTGTGTAAAGGTACCCCGTAATCCACTTCCATTCCTTCTATTTCCTCAATTTCCATAGCTGCTCGTTAACCTTTTCTTTGCATCCCCAGGCAATTGGGAACTCTAGAGAAAATGATAGTCTAGAGCACATCGCTCTAGAGTGTATCGAGCATATTTGGATATGCTTCAAGACGATTCCACGTCTTGACTTTCTACGTCTTATTTTAAAGACGAAGTACCTGGGCAACAGCCGCTACCGACGGGAATCAACAGCCTTCGTAGTCTCCAGACAATCTCTGCAAAGGTGGGCCGTTGATCCGCTTTCTTATGCCAAGCAGCTTCGATCAGCGCCGGCAGAAATTTCTCGGTACTGTTGCTTGGAAGGGCGGGCCGAAGATCTTCGTAGGCCACAGAAAGAGCTATCTGTCCAGGAAGCGTGAAGAAGTGGAATGTGAGACTGAATCCGGAGAAATCTCACCTGCATTGGCCCCGAGGATAATTCTACGTAAGGTGGTTCTCCTGTCGCAAGCTCGCATAGAATCACGCCGAAACTACAAACGAAAACAACGTAAGCAGCTAATACATTCTCTAGAAACTTGGCTCACCTGTAAACATCGCAGCTTCCATCATACGGCTCGTGACGAATGACTTCCGGTGCCATATAAATATATGTTCCTGGATAAAACGGTAACGACGGGACCTGAAAGGGAAAGCTTTTACCAGTCTCTCCAGTGAGTGACTTCTCATCGTCCTGCAGAAAACGCCCAAAACCAAAGTCCGCAACTCGAGCGTGAAGGCCGTCATCGAGAAATATGTTGCTGGGCTTCAAGTCGCGGTGGACAACCCGAGGTTTAAGTTCGTGAAGGTACTGTCAAGAAGAGAAGCGATTCAACCATCTCGTAACTAATCCTGTTTTTACAGAGCGTACCTGCATTCCAAGAGCGACTTCCAGTGCCACACGCAAGCGAGAACGCAGGGGAGGAAGAGGATGGCTTCTTTGCTTGCGACGCTTCTTATCACCATGCAGCCATTCCGTCAAAGTGAGTGGAAAGTATTCGGTGACGATCCACGCGTGCTCGGGAGGGCGAAGGCAAGCGGCCAGCAAGCGTATGACGTACGGGTGACGATTTTTGGAGAGGAGCTCAACTTCTTGACAAAATCTACTAAAGCTTTCCTGCCGCAGAACAAGAATTTCGTAAGGAGACTCCTGATTTTAAAGACAGTTTCTGCTGACCATATCTTGGAAAGAATGAGGCTGGATGCATTTGACTGCCACGTCCAGACCGTGCCAGATGCCGCGGACTGTAACGGAGCTCGTCCCTTTCCCAAGCGGACCTTTGAGCTCCACCTGAGGACCAAACTCAACTGGTAAACAAGTCTCCCTATTTTCGTTTTCTAGACTTTCTACCTCTGAGCTTGAACAGGCCCATCCATTTTGCTCGGCTTCGCACTGCAGCAACTGGAGCCGCTCGAAAGCTCTCTCCGGCTGCTGCTGCTCTTGCTGCTGCTCTTGCTGCAAATCGAGAGGCTTAAAGCTCGAAGCTCTCCGCTGGTGCGTGACAAGCTCCTGGCATTCCCTCAGGGCGTCCCCGAGCCTCAGCGCTTGCGACTTGAAAGCATGTTTGAGCTCCCTCTGGGCTTCTCTCTCGCGCTCCAAGTCCGTCACCTACAAAGGAAAAAAAAAAGAACTCTTTAGGCAGAGGAGAAGAAATTTTCAGAACCTGCTTCTCAAGTTTTTTAACTTCATCTGACAAAATCTCCAGATTCAGAGAACCACCCTGTAAGCAAACCATGGAATTAAACTCATCGCGAAGCTCTTTTGCTTACTTGCTGCGGTTGTGAGCTGCTGCGTCTGAACCACGACATGGTCACAACAGGAACAAAGGAAAGAATTTAGAGCATACCACGACAAGGCTGTGGCATTGGAAGGTACGATAGACGCGGCATATTAAGATCAAAATTTTCAAAGCTTTGCATTAACGAGCAGCGAGCGCAGTACATAAAACCAGGAAAGCTTAGCTTAGCTTAACTTGTTCGTCTGCCGTAAGCCTCTTCTTCAGCCCATCAGGTCTGGAAAACGAAGAAAAAACATTATCCAAGCAAAGAGAGATCAAAACAAAAGAGCAACCAAGGAAAATGGTAAGCCAAAACTAGTGGAATGAGAAGCTGGAAAGCAAAACAAACGAGAAAGAAAAAAACTTCTTTCTGACAGAACAAAGAACCAAAAAAGACCAAAGGCCGCGATGCCCATCTTGTGCTGCGAGAAATATCACACTGGAATGAACCTTTTGGATTGAGCCCGCTATTTTGTTTGTCTTCTGCAGAGATGGTGACTTTGTTCAATATTACCTCATTGTATTACAATGACGGGTAGAGGTAGTGTTGATCAAAGGCACCATCTCCACAAAACACAAACAAAATGGTAAGCAGACATCCGAAGTGCAACAAAACCAAGAATGAAAAAGGAAACAAGTGAACCATTGGGCTGGGGCAGCTTATATTGCCCAGACAGGAAGCTTCTACAGTCTGTGTGAAGAGATCTGAAGAGATGTTAATGAACGGCGGCAAGTTGTAAAATATTCCAACAAACGGTCTCAGTCATCGATGCCAAAGGAGATGCGAGCATGCTCTACTTGACCACATATTCTAGAATTTCGTGCGAGACTAATGTTTGAGTGTGTGGGCAAAAGTAGCATCGGAATGGCGACCGTTCCCGTCGTCTATTCCAATCCGCTGCTCATTCGGGAGAATGAGAGAGGATTTGGCAGATGATCTCCATGCGCTGCAGCGCTGGATCAGCAAGATACCCTGAGAGGGAATTTAAACCGATGCAGCAACTGTTTCTGGAGATGGCAGGGGGCAGCATTGTGTCCTAAGACTTTCCACGCATTGCTATGAAATGCGTGGAAAACTCAATACATCAAGATCAATTTTAGGACGATCCCAAAGCAAGATAGCCTCTCGTGGAACGCCGTGGTGTTTACATATGCCCGTTCCCGGTATCTTGCTCGAGATGGTAGATGTCATGACAAACGACTCCAGGGCAAACACAAAAATCCAGAAGAAAAAACTCAATGCGGATTTGTGATGGGAGCTTACTCTATATCCCAACCATTCAGTCGGACATGTATCCTCTTTTGTGATTATTCACATCACGGACTATTCCTGCTCGAAAGTGGAGTTTTAGTGTTTCAAAAGTTTAAGAAAGGTGACCAGTCTGCGTGAAAGATCTTGTTGGTTTAATCACCGTTCGAGCTCGCTCCTTAGATAACCTGGCGCGCTCCAATCCGCCACATTGGAAAAAGAAAAAGAGATAGAGCTTGGCGAGTTTGTTTGGATTAATAGTACTGGCAACATCTTGGAAGACCCGGCATAGAGAAGCTGGAAGAAAGTTTACTGCTAAATGGAAGAAAAACAAACTTTTAAGAGGCCAGCGTCGACAAAGCGTTTGATCTCTCAGTTTCCGGATCAGTGTTTGTAGGAGACGCGTTGAGAGCAAGCCTCTTCCGGCTAGCGGATCTTCGTAGGCCACAGAATGAGCTATCTGTCCATCATACCGCTGAGGTGATATATGTCCTGACCTGAAAGGGAAGGAGCTCAACCTCTTTCCTGCCGCAGAACAAGCATTCGTAAGTGGACTTCTTTATTTGAAAGATTGTTTTTCCTTCTACTGATCGGATGCATTTGACAGCCACGTCCAGACGCGGACTGTAACAGAGCTCGAGGATCAAATAACAATTCTCCACATTTTTCTACCTCTGAGATTGAACAGGTCCATCCACTCTGCTCTGCTTCGCACTGCAGCAACTGGAGCCGCTCGAAAGTTCTTTCTCCCTGCTTTTGCTGGTGCGCTTGCTGCAAACCGAGAGGTTTCTCGAAATTCTCCGTTGGTCCTGGCTTGCGACTTCAAAGCATGTCTGCGCTTCTCTCTCGCGCTCCAAGAGGGCTCCAAGATTGTCAATTAAAAAAAAACAAAAATCAGACTCGAGCTTTTTAAACTTCTTGCCAGGAAGGGTGAGAACATAAGAGCTATAAAAAATCAAAATGTACATAAATCTATTCAAGAAGAGAACCAAGCAAACCATGGACTTAAACTCATCGCGAAGCTCTTTTGCTTACTTGCTGAGGTTTTGAGCTGCGTCTAGACCACGACATAGGCAGGCACAACAGGAACATAGGAATAGAAAGAAAAGAAGCATACCACGACAAGGCTGTCAGGGTCAGACCAGATGATTTGATCTCGAGGGTGATTTTGATCGGAAAGTATGGTATAGCTTCAGAGAAGATCCTGTGCATGCAGAGGTGATCTTGATATTATGATCGATGACATCGAAAAATCTACAAAATTCGGAGCGCGCTTGGCGCGAAGCTCCTCCCGGCCACGTGGCGCGATGGCGAGCGTTGGATGGGAACATTTACTTTCATGAGATCCATGCCGCCCACATACCATAATGGAAGTATATGAAATGCGTGGCAAAACCGATGGATCAAGATATTTTATGAGAAGGATCCCAACGAAAAATAGCCTCTCATGGAACGCGGTGCAAGCAAACGACTGGACTATTGTTGCTCGATTTCTGTTTGAAAGGTGATCAGTCTTTTTCTGGATCAGAATGACCGGCATGGATTTGCTGCTCATGAAAAGCTCAGGGTGGGACATGCACTTTTCAATCCTGCAAGCGTTTAGAGCAAGCCTTTCTCTCTTACAGGCTAGAAAGAAAACTGAACCTTTTCGTGAATTCGCATCGAATCTTTAAGAACCAGCAACACAGTATTGGGATTTTCAATGTGCGCCTCGGCAACATTCGGACGTTCACTGTGTGTTGAAGTAAAACAGAAACATGACAAGGCTTGCTTCAAGGCACGACAGACGCCGTATGTAAGATCAAAATCAAAACTTTGCATTAACGAGCAGCGTGAGCAGTACATAAAAACCAGACTCGGGAAGGCTTAGCTTAGATGATGCCAATCTTGTTCGCCACATCCAAAGCGTCGATGTCTGCTGTAAGCCTCACGTACGCCTTCTTCAGCCCATCAGGTCTGGAAAAAAGAAGAAAGTGGTAAGCCCATGAATGAAAACAATGAGAAGCTAGAAAGCCAAAATCAATCAGACAAAAGAACCAAGAAACGGTAAGCCCACACACGAAGAAGTGAATTGAAAAGACAAACGAGACTACCACCGAGGAAAGAAAGAAAGAAAGATTACCTGATCAGCGTGTTCACCTTCTTGGTCTGGATATCGTACATCATCTTCACGGCGTTCTTGATCTTCTTCTTGTCGGCCCGGATGTCGACGATGAAGACCAGGGTGTTGTTATCCTCGATCTTCTTCATGGCCGACTCGGTGGTGAGCGGGTACTTGAGCACCTTGTAGTGATCCAGCTTCTCGCGATTTGGGGCGCTGAGGCGGGGATACTTGGGAGCTCTTGCCTGCTTCAGGGTCTTGGGCCTGTGGAACGTCACAGAGGTCCGGACCCTCCTCCGCCGGATCTTCGGTGCCGGATTCTTCACCGCCTTCGCTGCCTTGGCGGCCTTGGATTTGGCATCCTTGCCTAGAACACAGCGGCGATTCGGTATGGACGAAATCGAGAGAGAATGCGGCGATTACCTTTGGCTGTCGGAGGCGCCATCGCTCGTCGCCTCTAAACCCTATCCCCGGCGGCGCCAAACCCTAGAACAATAGCCCTAAACCAATATATTTGTTTTAGCTTAAACGCGGTTATAGTTATAGTAAAACAGAGTTTATTAAGCAGATGCTATCGCCTGTAAGGCACATATCTATGGTCCTTCGCAGCGTTCTTTTGCCTCCTCTTCGCGAGGAAATTTTCGAGCTTTCCGCAGGTCTGGAGCCCAAAATTTTTTGTGAGAAGATGAAAAACCTGGGAGAAAGAAAGGAGAATGTCTACTCTCACCTTTAATTCTTTGTACTTTTCGATCAGAGCAGCTCGTCGTTTGTCAGCTGCACGAAGAAAATGGAGACGATTTAGACAAAAGAGTGTGAGGGTGATTGGTTTCGAGCTTACATTTCTTCATGTAGAATGGCTTCTTTCCCTGCTTGACTAGTTCTCGTTCCATCCTTTTTTGCTCGGCTGCTTTTTCGGCATGCTTTCTTCTGTCCCTCTCAGATTGCAGCTGCCTTTCCTGCGATTCAAAGACTACACTAGAAATCGCCACACAGTTCAGGACTTTACCATCAAAGAGATTTCGTTTTTCTTCTCGGAAATCAGCTCGGGATCTTTCGCTTTCTTCAATGACTTGAAGAGTTCCTAAGGACAACGATATATATCCGTAACTGTGATTTTCTTGAAGGAACTAACTCACTTGTCGTTCAGCTGGGAGCTGTTCGTCGTAAATAAAATTGTATGCCTTTTTAAACCTGTAAAGTTTCATCAGTAGAAAATTTCACAGGTGCACGCAAACCACTACCGCGATTCATCGTAGTCTCCGCACAGCGATTCGAATCGAGGATCACGTATCACCTGTAAGAAAGAAGAACAAAAGAAAAGAAAAAAACTCATCAAGTCTCCAGAAGAAAAAAAAAAAAGTCTTACTCGTTTTGATGTCTGCATCACGTCCCTGAATCTGCCAACCGGCTTCTTACTCGAGATTTCCATCGGCCTGGAGCAAAAACCTCCAATTTATCATTTTCTATTGAAGCACAGAACCACGGGATACCTGTTCTTATTCAAGCGTTTCAAGTCTGCCTTTGTTTTGCCCCGAGCAATCTTTGAATGCCCCTCGGCTTTTGCCTTCTGGAGAAGCTCGAATGGAACATCCGCGACCGCACACCGCAACATTTCTTCCTGGAATCCAAACACTGAGCCCTACTTCATTTTGGAAAAAAAGAAGAATCCCGCACCTCTTCCGACCCCTCGGATCCCGATAACGATCCATCGCCCTCTTCGCCTCGATCTCCAGCTACTTGATCTTCGTCTTCTTCCTCCTCCTCCGATGAGCTCGCTGCCAGCGCCTCATCATCCTCTTCCCCTGACATTTGGTAGCAGCAAAGAACCCTAAAAACCTCTAAACGTTTCAAAGATCGGACGGACAACACTCTGCCAAGTGGGCAGCTACATTCTTGCGTATTTGGCCAAAGAAATTCGGGTTAAAAACATTGGGCCCTAAAAATAACATTCCAGTGACTTTGGATTGCGATGTGTCGCCGATGAATGCTCGCGCTCGTGGCGGCGCGATGGCATTCACATCCCTGGCGCTGCCCACACTCGTCTGGATCCTCGTCGCCTGGCTCGTCGCGCTCCACTTCTTCACAGGTTGGATCTCCTCGCCCTCTGCCGCCACTGCGCGAAGCAATCGCCGTAAGGATAGGGATAATCCGGTCGCCAGGCTCAGCGATCTCCTCCGCTACTCGGAGCTGGAAGAGATTGAGGAAATTCCGGTGTTCTCGGTCAGGAGCAGCAGTGGCAAGAAGCACAAGAAATCTTCCAAATCCGCCAAATCGGCCATTTCCGACGATCCTTTGAGCGAGCTGTCGCCGGACAGGCGCCTGTTCTACTTTCCGGATCGAAATCTGGCCGCCGTGGATCCCAGCAGCAGCAGCGAGGAGGAAAGGGATTTTTTCTTTCCAGGGAGAGAGTGGAGGGATGTGAATGGATTGCCGATACAAGCACACGGGGGTGGGATTCTCTACACTCCAGAGACGAGGACATTCTATTGGTATGGAGAGAACAAGCAAGGACCGACTTATCGCCTCCACAAAAAATCCAGCGCTCGGGTAAGTTTCGTTTACTTTGCTTCGCGTTCACTTTCTTTCTCCCTCGCGTTGTTTGCATCACGATTTCTCTCAGGCATTGATCGTTTGTTCGTTCTTTTCTCTATTGTTTTTTTTTCCTTGGTGCCTGCCATGATCGTCTTTCGTTGTTTGCATCTCTCGGGCTTGTCGTCCTTTTCTCTATTTTTTGGTGCTTGTTATGATCGTCTTGCTTTCATAGTTTCCGTGAAATAGATCTCTTGGACATGTGCTTTTCATGACTTTGTATTGTTCATTTCAACGTGACGTTCTCTTGCAAGCTTTACAAAAGATTCTCGCGGACTGTGTCGTTCTTGACAAAATCGATCCTTCACGATCGATCAATAGTGTTTCGCTATTCGCTTTTGTCGTCTAGAACTCCAGTAGTTGTATTTTTCTTTCGCTTTCTCTCACCACTGTAATTTAAACTGTTCCACAGGTGGATCTGATAGGCATCAGCTGCTACTCCTCGCAAGACCTCTGGCGCTGGAAGAACGAGGGCCTGGTTCTCAAAGCCGACACCACCAACACCAGCAGCGATCTCCACACCAGCAACGTTGCCGAGCGTCCCAAAGTCATCTTCAACAATCACACCCGGCAGTTCGTCATGTACTTGCACATCGACAACGCAAACTATTCCAAGGCCAGCGTCGGCATCGCGACGAGCTCGTCTCCCCTCGGCCCCTTCACGTACCTGGGCAGCACGAAACCACACGGCTTCGATAGCAGGGACATGACCATCTTCAAGGACGAGGACGATGGCTCTGCCTTCCTCGTCTACTCGTCGCAATCCAACAGCGAGCTCCACATCTCCCAGCTCACTCCCGACTACCTGGGCCTCTCTCCAGCAGTCTCGCGCGCGCTCGTCAACCAGCACAGGGAAGCTCCGGCCGTCTTCAAGCACGGCAACTTCTTCTACATGATCACGTCGGGGTGCACGGGGTGGTGGCCGAATCAAGCGCTGCTCCACGCGGCCGAATCGATGCTGGGGCCGTGGGAGACTCTGGGCGATCCGTGCGTGGGTGCCTCGGACGAGTTTCGGCTCACCACCTTCTTCTCCCAGGTCGCGTTTGTTCTTCCGCTGCCGGGGCTGCGAGATCTATTCGTGTTCGTCGCCGATCGCTGGAACCCGGGGAATCTGAGCGACTCGAGATACGTGTGGCTTCCACTCACGATCGATGGGCGTCTCGACGGCCCCCCGGAAGACGATAGCTTCGAGTTTCCAATGTGGTCTCGTGTGTCTGTGCGGTGGCACAGGAAATGGAAGCTCCCGGAACATTGGAAGAACGCGAGCCTTGACGACGACGAAGGTGAAATTTCCTTGTAAATACTTTTTTGTTACCGGATGATTTTAATCTCAATATTTTCAATCGATAGAAATTAGGTCTTCACGGCTTTGTTCGAATTTCTTGTTCGCGGGAAGCGCTAGGTTTTGCAAATGGCACTTGGGTATGATCTACTGGTACGCATCTTTCTCTCGATCGGCTGGGAATCACTGCTGCAAGCCAGCGGCGTGTGCAAGGAGTGGAGAGCCATCATCAAATCCGCCGAGTTTAGGGCGCTGTGGCGGCCGCGTTCGAGCGACGAAAACTGTGTCCTCCTCACGGCTTACACCTCCCACTGGCAGCATCACCCTCGACCACTCCACGTCTGCGCCTGGAGCCCCAAGTCGCGCGTCGTCTCTCCGCTCCCGGCGTGGATGAAGCTCCCGCTCCCGCCCGGCTCCTTCTTCGACATCGTCGCCTCCTCCGCAGGCCTGGTGCTCATCCGCCAGCCGTCATGGGCCGACCGTGAGACGCCCGGGGTGGAGTTCACGGTGGGCAATCCGGCAACCAACGAGTGGGTCAGGATCCCACGCCTGGATCCGCAGCAAGCCGGTCGAATCTACAGCATGACTGCCGACCCGGCGACTGGGGAGTTCAAGCTGCTAGACACCCATAACAGGCGTATCTACGAATCAAGCTCGCGGGCCTGGGGCCCGATCCTGAGCTTGCCTGACATCGCCGACACAGGCGAACTCAACGCTAAGACAGATACGCTGGGGTGTCTCCCTTTCGTGTGGGAGCACAAGGGAGTGCGCTACCGGGCGTGCGCAATCGCTGATACCTATGTCACGTACAAGGTGTGGGTGTGGACAGGCCAGTGGCGAGGGGTTGCGAACGATGTCTTGGACCTCTACTTCGACTCCATGGATGGCGCTGGTCAGTGGCTTGGGGTTGGGAGCAGTGATTTGGACGAGACGGGTCTCTACATTGACTGCTCCATGGCGCTCGAGTGCCAGGCTGAGGGCAATCTCGTGTGCCTGGCCGGCCAGTGCCGCGATCGTTACGGTGAGAAGTGGGCTGACGAAGGTGCCGAGCCTTTGCCACCCGTGGTCTACGACTTGGATTGCGGCGAGTGGATGTACATCCGCGCCAAGAGTGAGTATGTGCAGTACAGGCGGGCGGTTGTTTACCGCCCCTCGCTTGTGAGGCCCTCTGGCGTCGAAGGAGCTATGGTGCTTGATCCCGAGGGTGGCAAGGGGCACAAGCGAAAGAAGGAGCAGCAGCCGCCAGATACGGTTCGCAGGATCCGGCAATGTAGGATGAAAGCACTCGGCGGCATGGAGGCTGAAGTGTTTGAGGACATCTTCTTCATGATGTAAGAGTATTCTCATTTGATGTGGAGCTCATGCCTTCGGGCTGCTGTGACTGCCATCTAAATCGAGGGCTCAAAGCTACAATCGAGTTCACTGCGCTGCTTAGAGAACGCAGGGACTGGGAAATCTATCTAGCAGAGGAGGAGATGGAGAGGATGACAGTGAAAAAAATTTCTTCCAGTTTGATGACCAACTAGAAAAACTCTGTCGTTGGCTCTTGACGTCGTAGCCGTACTCATACTTCCAAAATCAATGAGCGCTGCCTGGATCTGCAAAAGAAGAAGAAGTCGTCGAGTCTCTCAGCTTTCTTTCAAGTGCCAGGCGAAATTCTCTCACAGGCAGTCTCACGCGCAATGGGAAACGCACGGCAAGTTTTTACCTGGTGGCCGAATCAAGCGCTGCCGAATTGATGCTGGGACCGTGGGAGACTCAGGGTGATCAGTGCATGGGTGCACCAGAGCTGCGAGATCTACGAGTCGACGCAGACGATAGAGTGATCACAAGAAAAAGGCTTGTAAATACGTTTTTCACCTTTTCCCGCGGATGAACTAGAGCGATTGTTGGGTATGATCTTCTGGTACGCATCTTCCTCTGTGAAAGGAGTGGAGATCCATCATCAGATCCGCCGAGTGTTGGAACTCGGCATTCCTCTTATCGACGAAGATAGAAGGGAGAGCGCTACATGGCGTGCGTAATTACGACAACGGCATCACGTACAAGGTGTGGAGCGTGGATGGCGCTGGCCTGTGCCAAGAGGTTGCGAGCAGTGTCTTGGACCAGACGGGTCTCTACATTGACGGCTCCATAGCGCTCGAGTGCCAGGGCGAGCGCATTGCGGCGTATGCCCAAGCCAGGCGATCAAACTGTACCGCTTTCTTTCTCTACGTCTTGCTCAAGTTAGGACGAGGCTCTTCATACCGTCTTGGATCCAATCAAACTTTGCGAACATTTTTATAAGACCACGTTACTATATGCAATCCGTTGCAACGTGTTCAAGGGTGTTGCCAGATGGTTAAAGCTCACATAAGTGACGAGAACAAACTTGCAAGCATGAAAAACTTAGGAACTACAACAGCCTAATATCAGTAACTAGCTAATGTAGTATCATTCACAGCTGACTTGTACGTATTCCAAGAGAATAAAGTACAAGTTATAACATATGCTCCTGGATTTGTAGTTCTCTACTGTCAGTGATTCAGATAGAGAATCCAAGAGCCAGTGGTGCTCCAATGGATTTCCTAATTATCTGCTAAGTTGAGATGTCTAGTCCGCAACGGCGTGTGTTCAAATCTAACTCTCAACGGAAGTAAAAACTAAATTTTGGGAAGAAAACTTGCAGATGGAGCGTGTTGGGTGTGACTTGTTACTGGCGTGGAAGGAGCTCTGGCGCTTGAGGGAGGGTGGAGGGGCACAAGCGCAAGAGGGAGCAGCAGCCGGCGGACACGCTTCGTCGAGCTCGAGCAGTGGAGTTTCGATTCACCACCTTTTGTTCTTCCCGCTGCCGGGGCTGTGAGATCTTTTCGTGTTCGTTGGTTTCCACTCACGATTGATGACATCCATTGATCGTTGGTAGCCATCTCCGCTACTCGGTCGCTCATCCTGGACGTCCACGATCTTGCTCAAGTGTCATCGTTCTTTGGC